ATGGTTTGCTGCAACCAAAGAACTTAGAACAAGAAGCAGAGAGAAGATCAAAGCGAGAGAGAGTTTTGCAAATGCCATTGTTGGCTATCTTTTGCTAGTATGGAGTGGGAGGTGGAAGTGTGGGTTTGTGGGGGATCTTGTGTGGGGTTTATATAGAGAGCGCGTGATCTGTGCGTGATCGAGTCAGCACTAGAGAAATGAGGGGCTCTTTCCAGATCGATCCAACCGCGTCGCGACAGGATTTGAGAGACAGTAAGTTATGCGTTTCTTCGTGTCGCTTAGTGCGGAGAGGATGTTGACTGCCACTAAGAAATGTCATGATGACTCTGACCAGCATTCTAACATAGATTTGTTGAATAAATTTAATTTACTACTGTCTTAAGGTCAAAGTGTTAATATTAAGTATTGGGCTAAATATTTTTTAATAAAAAGGTTCACAATATATTAATTATTAATATTTATCAATTTTGATGCACTTCTAGCGGTGAAACCTTCTTGCTCCCCAAACTTGATCGCTTGTCTGAAAATCTCATCTCTTTTCGCTGCGTTGTTAGCATCACCACTCTGCTCCAAGAGTTCTTCCACACAGTCCCGGTATTGCTGTTCGTTTAGTTTGGCTAGGCACACAGTGAGGCCGAATAGATCACCGAGCTTCACAGTCGTTTCGCCAATCTTTGCGTCGGAACGAGAGCTCGTAGCACAGAGGAGAACATTACGCGGCCACTCCTGTAAAAAAGTGGTGAGAAGATAAACTTCTGTAAGGATAGATAGACCAGAAAAACGAAATGGGAAGTACCTGCAAATGCTCGTCCAGAGCTGCCTTGAGCAGCACAAAGCTCTCCTCGACTGACCGGAGAAACAAATCCTCTACCAGTAAAACAAACCGGATGTGGCTGTTCTTCCTCATCTCTTCCAGTATAGTTGCAAGCTGTTTAAACTCGCTGCTTGGAAGTAGCACCACTCGAAAGCGTGCATCCTCGGATAGCTTGCTCAAAGTAGCTTTCACGAGCCACGATTTTCCAGAGCCGGAGGGACCATGCTGCACCAAAAAAATCATCCGTTTCTAATTAGTTTTCTCCCGACACTATCTTCAATCAAAGGGTCGTGAGATTACCACAAATACATGATGAGCAGAGCCCTGTGAAACATGCCGGTGTATATTTTCACGCAAGGCTGCTTGTTGCCTGGACCATACTGTGAGATGCGGTTCACTTACAGGCTTAAGGTATCGAAAGTCCGGCACGAGCTTTCCTCCCCGCAACTTTAGAACTGCATCAACACGGACAGAGTTTCAGATTGCGCGGGTAACTTATCAGCCGGTCTTTAGAACCTTGAGACAGTGCAACGCGACCAAAACCATTCTCAGCGTGGTAATCCTTCAGCAGATGAACAGCTTCCGACCAGTTCCATAAACCGCTGATCTTCTTTTGCCACTGTTGCCGTTCTGTTTCAAAGTTTGAGAGTCATATAAGCAAAGACATGGTCACACCTGAAATGACAAAATCGCTCTCTGTTTTGATGGTTTTCTCCTCAGACGGCGAAACCAAAATCTTGTCCTCCACGGACGCTTCCTTTTCTACGTCAGGCAGCGGGTCGATGAACTAGAACACGGCCAAAGTGTGATATGCTTTTTACCTTCGTCTGTGACCAGGAAACCAACAATATTATTCGTTTTCTTCTCGTCTACCTTTGGAACAGTGCGGGAATCAAGGCTGGAGGATGCAGCATTGCGCCATTGCGGCTTGGTTTCCGACACGAGCTCTGTCACCTAGAAACTAAGACGCTTAAGAAACAGGTAGAAGAAAGAAAACTTACCCAGCTTATCATCGTGGATTCATTGAGGCTAAGCCGCTGTAAGCTTTCGAGATCTGCGGTTGCTGCTGCTTCGAGCGATGCTGGGATTCGTCCTCCATAAGTGCTGCTGGAATCACCACTGCTTGCAGCTGCTTCAGCAAAAGGATTCCCATCCGCCTTTAGAATCCCTTCGAGAAGAAAATCCTGCCAGCTGCAAGATTTCTATATTTCATGAACCTTTCATATCGAAAGTTGGACTTACCTCGAGTGCTTGCCGGTTGCCATGAGCCGGAAGAACTCTCCATAGGCTTCCAAAATTTTTATATCATCTATCACAGGAAGACAAAGAACAAATCTTATAGACCAGAAGCACAAAGACACAAGGAAAAAACAAGTACCGTCTCTCCTGCGAAGAACCAGCAGCAGCTTAAGAAATGCCTGGGCTGGAGGGCTTCTAAAAACCTCCTGATAAACCAGCAAAGCTGCTACATCCTTGAGCAATCCATCGGCGACTCTCTCGATCCTATTTTTCTTATATCTTAGAAGAAGAGGAAGGAGAGAGACGCGGTTTTCTTACTGGATTCGAGGATCAGTGGTGAAGCCCAGAGATGCCGAGACAATGTAGCTGCGATTCCTGGAGCTCCGACCGCTAAAATGGTGCCTGGGAGTGGTAAATCGAACAGATGGCGTCCGCAGCGTCATGGCGCTACTCGCAGCTAGCAACGCCATCACCGATTTCTAGGGCTCCAAACTTTGAAAATAAAGTCCACGTGATTATTAATTTGAGAAAATCTAGATACATTCTTGTTTAGATTATGCTGCTCATCCGTTAAATAGATTTCTTCGCATGCCAAGAAAATTATCTATTTATCGTTTTCTCCGCCACCTTTTCCCCTCGCTTGACCGCCTTAACGAAAATATCTTCATGAATGGCTCCACTGCTCGATTTCTTGACCTCCTTCCACTGGCTATCCACATAGTAGTAGTAATTGTAGAGGGACCTTGGGAAATTTTGCGCCATCAGGGCATAAATCTCCTTTAGCGTCGTCGACCACGTCTCCTTCGTGAAACTCTCGCGAAAATCGCGTGGGGAGTTTAGAACTTTCGGCCCTTGGCATGCGTAAACCAGCCTTAGCGGCCGATCCTTCCTGTTCTTGGTCGCCACCATGATCTTGCTCTCGTCGCCCGCGTCTAAGTTCACTCCCCAGTAAATCCCCTGATAAGTAACCACGCGAACTTGGTATAAAACACACAAGGAGTGGAGAACTTACCTCGGTTGGACTGATAGTTAGACCATGATCGTAGAACGTTGTCTCGGACATTGCCAGGCCAAAAAGCTTGCAAAACTCCTCCATCACGGGCTTAAAGGGTTCGTCTTTCTTGGCCTCGCGAAACCATCTCCGCCCATTGTCAGCCTTCACAGAAAGGTTAGTTCTATGCAATTCCACAAAGAAGTTCGTGATCTCTATACCTCAAACACAACCAAATCGCTTCCCTTTGCTAACATTGCAACCATCGCACAGATAATATTTAGGTCACAGTGATATTCTAAAGGATATAAATACTCGTAACAACCTTCTAGTTAGGTTTAGTGATAAACATAATTAATAATGACAAGCCTTTTAGACAGGAACCAATGCATCGACCTCATTAGATCCTCCACTACGCTTCCCGCGGCAAACGCCGCTTCATCGCTCGCCAGGCACCGTCTCCAAGCCGGAGAAGATTCCTTCCTTTGCAATGTGCTGCTCGAGGCGTACGGAAAGTGCGGCAGCCCCGGCGATGCCAGGAGAATCTTCGACGGCATCAAGCGCAAGAACGTCTTCTCGTGGGTGCTGCTCCTGCAAGCATATGCCCGGAATGGGCATCTGGAGGATGCGAAGCGCGTCTTTGATGCGATGCCCGAGCGGAATCTCGTCTCGTGGAACTGTATGCTGGTGACACTTGTGCAGAACGGGAATCTTGACCAGGCCCGGCGGGTTTTTGATGGCATGAAAGAGCGCAACCTGGTATCTTTCACCACGATGCTCATGGCGTATGCCCAAGCAGGGCATATTGAGCAGGCCAGGCGCGTCTTCTCTAAGATGCCCGACTGGGATCTCATTGCGTGTACGACGATGATATGGGCGTACGGAGAGGAAAGGGGATCTTTCCAGGCAAAGCGCGTGTTTGATTCCATGCCCGAGTGGGATCTCGCGTGCTACTGCGCGATGCTAACAGCATATGCTGAGAGCGGGCATCTGGAATATGCTACGAACCTCTTTCAGCGATTGCCGGAGTTTAACGTCGTAGCAGTGAACTCTCTCTTAGCCGTATTGGCACACAACTTGAAGATCGACGGCGCTAAGCGCGTGTTTGATTCCATGCAAGAGAGAATACTCGTCTCGTGGAACACTATACTCTTGGCATATTCCCAATCCGGGCATCTGGAGGAGGCCAAGCACGCGTTTGATTCCATGCCCGAGCGTGATATGGTATCGTGGAATCTCATTCTAGATGCGTACAGACACTACGGCCTACCGGAGAACGCCCGGGAGATCTTCGACCGTATGTATGAGCGAGACTTGGTGTCGTGGAACACGCTCATGGCGTGCCTGCTCGAGGCGGGGTGTTTGGCGGAGGCGATAGACGTATTCTACGCCATGGAGGAGCGGAACGACTGCTCGTTTAACACTCTCCTGGCGGCGTACGTCGGTAGCGGGCGTTTGGCGGAGGGGAAGCGGGCGTTTGGCGGTATGCCCGGCGTGGACATAGTGGCGTGGAATACCCTAATGGCGGGGTATGCCCGGAGCGGCGAGGGCGAGGTGGCGCTGGAGCTCTTCGCGGCGATGGCGATGGAGGAGGCGCCCAATGCGATCTCGTTCGTGCTGGCTCTGCGCGCGTCCAGCCACGGCGGCGATGTCTACCGCGGGTGGGCGCGATTTTGCTCCATGGTGGTGGATTTTGGCATCGATCCGAGCAAGCAGCACTACTGCTGCATGGTGGATCTTCTCGGGAGGGCGGGCTATGGCGGCAATGCGGAGGAGCTGGTGCGCAGCATGCCGTTTGTGCCGGACGCGCTGGACTGGACGTGCGTTCTCTCGTCGTGCAAGGGGCGGAGGGATCGCCGGAGAGGCGCGGTGGCGGTGGAGAATGTTCTTCGCTTGGATCCCAAGAACACGGCTGTCTACGTGCTGGCTTTGAATCACAGCGTACGCGATGGGTGACGGATCGAGGTCGAGAAAAGGTGAGTTCTTTCTTTATCTCTTTCTTTCAACTTTTTCGTTTTTTTCTGTCAGCATGGATGATTGCTGGTGGCATGCGAAGCTGTTGAGGTAGATCATTAAATCATTGATGATCCTTATGCTCCTCGTTGTTCTTATTATCTGGCTCGCAGCTCATCACTGTTCTTAGTTGGACAGGAATCTTGGAAAAGCTGTCTAAGACCGCGTTGCCGGCTACCATCGTTCTCTATATGTTTATAAGCTGGGATTGGTGTTGCTCGCAGAAACACGCAAATGGAGCTTGTGAGGAGCTTTGGAACACTGTTTTTGCTGCTGTGCGTCATTCTTTTCTTCCAACAGGCAGCCGGGAGAACGAGAAAGTTTGAGTTTAATGTGAGTATCTCTGGTTATCTTTGGAGAATGACGTTCCAGTCTTTTGTGTATGACAGGTCGCATATATGAGTGTTAACAAGTTATGCCGAGCTACGAGGATTGTTGCTGTCAATGGGCAGTTTCCCGGGCCTTCCATCCGCATCCAACAAGGCGATAAAGTGATAGTTCGAGTTCATAATATGATACGCAGCAACATCACTATTCACTGGTAACATACATTTGTTTTTATAAACATGAGCTAAGGTTTTCTTTTTTCTTCTTTTCTTTTTTTTTGGTGTTCTTGTGCGTAGGCATGGAGTTCAGCAGCGGCTTTCGTGTTGGCAAGACGGGCCTGCATTTATAACTCAGTGTCCCATCCAAGAGAGAAACTCGTTCACGTATCGATTTAGAGTCGATCAAGTCGGGACACTTTTCTGGCACGCTCATGCAGCTTGGCTTAGAGGCACAGTCCATGGTGCGTTTATCATCGAGCCTGTTACCAGAAGACCGCGGCCGTATCCATTTCCCCAGCCATTTAGAGACGAGACCATCATCCTTGGTAAGCAAAGCTCTCTAAACCTTTTGGTTTGATTTTGCGAGTCGCTTCTCCAGGAGATTGGTTTGTCAACGATCTCCTCGAAGAGGAGGAGCGAGCTATAGTTTCTGGCGGAGCACCGGACATGTCCAACGCTTTCATAATCAACGGGAAGCCTGGGCCTCTCTTTAACTGTTCGGCGACTTCTTATTCCAAGTCATTCACTCACGAGGAGAACACGCACAAGATCGGCTTCATACCAGGAGAAGCTTACCTCCTGAGAATCATCAATGCTGCACTAGAACAGGACCTCTTCTTCTCAATCGCAAATCACACCATGACCGTCGTCGAGATCGACGCATCCTACACAAAGCATCTCACAGTCACCGAGTTTCTCATCACCCCGGGGCAAACCGTATCAGTTCTAGTCAAGGCAAGCCAGCACGGTGGAAGTTACTACATGGCAGCCTCGCCTTGGAGATCCGGTGGTGCTCTCTTCCAGCCAACAGTAGCTCTTGGCATCATCGAGTACATTACTCCACACGGGAATTTTTCGCTCATGCCAGTTCTTCATAACCTGCCGAACCCGGACGACAAGGCCTTGGGACAAAAGTTCCAGAAGCTGCTGCGGAGCTTAAACTCGAAACAGTATCCAGAACAAGTTCCTCAGTTGGCAGATCGACGCCTGTTTCACGTCGTCAGCTTGAACGTAAAGCCGTGCTCTCCAGGCATCATTTGCTCGGGACCAGCAGGACTACGCCTATCAAGCTCTATCAACAACGTTTCTTTCGTCTCACCGAAGACTTCGTCCATTCTGGAAGCTTACTACAACAGGATTCCGGGTGTCTTCACGGCCGATTTTCCTGACAAGCCGCCGGTTCCATACGACTACGTTGGCAAGGCTTTCGATATCTCTGATCTCTTTTCGGAGACTGGAACGAGAGTGAGCGTCATTCCTTACGGTGCCAACGTCCAGCTCGTTCTCCAGACGACCATCAACCTTGCAAACGACAGCCATCCATTTCACCTCCACGGTTTTGACTTCTACATCGTTGGCGAGGGGCACGGCAACTTTGACGGTGCTCGAGACGAGCGCAAGTTCAACCTTGTGGATCCTCCACGCAGGAACACTGCGTTGATTCCAATCAAAGGCTGGATAGCTTTAAGATTCAAAGCTGACAATCCAGGTATGATACTTTCCATTCATTCGGCTTCTAACCTTATGAGTCTGCGACCAGGAACTTGGCTGTTCCATTGCCACCTAGACGGACATCTTACTTGGGGACTGGAGATGGCATTCATCGTTCTAAACGGTGAAGGCCCCAACCAAACTTTGCCTTCTCCGCCAAAACATCGACCAAAATGCTAGTTTATGCCGTAAGTTTTCACAGGCACGACTCAATGAGTTTCTGATCGGTGTTGTTGTTATCAGCTCAAGGATCATTGCCGACGATTCTTACCAGATAAATGCGTACACTATGTCTTGGACTCAGCATTCGTAACATCGGGTAAAAAATCCAAACAGGTGGAATTTCCTCCGTAGATTTCTCACGCCAGCCCAGGCTCCGAATCCAACACCGATTACAAGTATCCAGACAACAACACCGACGTTGATTGCATATATCCATATCCAGCTCGGCAGCCAGAAAGGAGGCCCCTCTTTGGACTCCTGCTCACAAGGTAACATTGAGAGCTTGAACTGCAAATGCTAAACTTGCCTTTCGCGCAGAAGTACTTCTGTGATAAACCATGAAAGCCACGCACGGGACAATGTAGATCGTAAAGCTCGTGAAGAAAGCAGCCGCCACTATATTGATAACGCCAATGAAGGGAATCATCAGCGCGACGAGCCAGACCAGTATCACGACTGGCAATCTCGCGGCGGATTTGAGCAAGTATCGTCCTGGCAACGAGTGTATCCCGCAAAACTTCTCCCACGTAAGATAGATCGGAAGCACCGAGAAGCCAAACTGGACGAACTGCAGCAAAGAGCACTATGGTCAGGCAAGCTTTCCAAGTTTATCTTCTTTCGCTCTTTGCAAAGGGTTCTTTCGTCTCGCCTGGTGGATGATCATGAGAATTATGGCTACGTCACGGTACTTGGACTTGTGGAACCTGGTGAGAGCGTATGAGTGGTGGAGCATCTCCTCTCCATACGTCCAGTAAACCGCGATGGCCGAAGGCAAAGTGAGAGTCCATATGTAGAGAACCGCGTAGAGATAAATCTCCTTAAATTTTTGTGGCTTCTTCATGGCATGGGTGAGCTCGCTAAGATGGTGAAGATAACCAGGTGATGTTATAGTAAAGAGATCCGACTTACATTGTCAATCCATGGCCTCCAAACGCGTATAAGATGTTGGAAGCTCCCAAGAAGTAGTCTAGAGAGGAGTGTGGAGCACTGTGTTTCACAGGGCCATCCTGTTTTGTACATGATCGTGTGAGATTTCTATAGACAAAAAGGTCATAAAATAAATACCTTTCCTTGGAAAATGGAAGCTAAAACCATGTACCAAGCAGTGTAAGTAGTCATTACAATACCAACAGAAGATAATACTCTGTAGTTTTGAGCTCTGGGGATCAAAATACTGGGTATAACGCAAGCTCCTAACACCAGAGTCCATGATCGCTTGTCTAGACGATCATTGAGGATATGGGCAAGGCTGTCCAAAATAAAATGCATAGAATTTTTATTTTTCTTTGATAAAAGGTGATATTACTTGGATGCTCCTATAAGTGTGATAGCACTTTGCAACACCTGAAGGCCAGTGTTAAATATCAAGCCAAGGTACTTCCAAAATGTACCAAGAAGGCCATCTAAAACTTCATACCACTGAGACAAAACCATGTAAGATTATCAAGATTCAATGATGTAGAAAGGACCTGAATTTCATGCTTGTCATTGTACAGAGCTTCTCTTTCAAATCTCTTCCTGTAGTTCATATACAGCCAAGTTGTCATGTAGCAAGCCCATGCCCCAAGGGTTCCATAGAGGAGCTGGAAAAGAATGCCAGAGACTAATCCCAGCTGAGCAAATGAATTGGGGAGTGTGAGAAGAACTTGCCCAACCTTTTAGAACCAGCCACATTCATGATCAAGATATGAGAAAATCCCAAGGAACTAAAGAGGCAAAAACCTGGTAAGATGTAGCATTGAACCAAGCATCAATGACAGAGCTCCCATTCAAGATTGTGCTTGCAATTCTAGTGAGCCTCCTGCTGTGCCCCCACATTGGAATTGGAAAGATCTGAAGAGAACAACAGTGGCTTTGCCCTGTAAGAGAATTCTCTCACCAACAAGCGCACTCATATCATTCCTAGTCAATAAACGCTGCCGAATCTCTCTGTCACAAAGACAAAGATTCTGTCTTGATTATACGGTTTTAGGCAAATCCAATCCCACTGCCTCAAAAAACTTCTTCCATTCAACGTACACTCCTTCCGTGAAGATGGCTATGAGCCGGCCGGGATCTCGCGTTTCCCTGTAACACCTCCTCTCGATCCCATGCTCGATCGTCTCCTCCTCCTGGAAGCAGCTGCGGTACACGCCATAGCTCACAATCTCCTCGCTCTCGACGAGGTAGGCGTTGTTGGGCACCATTGGAGTGATGCTCCACAGGAGAAACGCGAGCAAAACTCTCCCGACTCGCCCATTCCCATCGCGGAAGGGATGAACGAGCTCGAATTCCAGGAAGAACGTCACCGCCACCTCGAGAAGCTTGCCAACGTCAAAAGTGTCGTCGCCGCCGCGATCGATCGGGAAGATCTCTTCCAGCCTCGTGTTGGTCGCTCCTATCAGCCGCTGGAGCTTGGCGGAGATTTGATCCGGCTCCACAAACTGGTGGAACGATCCATCTTCCAGGCGCACAAACACGTCCTTCTGCCGGAACTGGCCGGCATCGCTCTCCCACCCCTCGCGGTTCTGGAACAAGACCTTGTGGATCCTCTTGATCCCGGAGATCGTGAGAGATGGCGGGTGGGAGCAGCATTCGCTCGCCTCACGCTCCACCATGCCATAGGCGTCGTGCAAGTTGAGGGTGACGATGGTGTCCAGCGATTGATCCACGGCGCCCTGGCCACTCCTGGCTGCGTCAATCACTGCCCCGGTCTGGGGGATGGAGTCGTAGCCCTCGCCATTGATCGTGTTCACCTGGTAGACGAAATCCACTAGCATCTGCTTGCGGCACAGCGCTGCCGCCATTTCCTGCACTGCGATCCGCGCGGATTGCCTGTGGGATTCGGCGATCAAGCTCTGGATCCCCCTTACCAGCGACGAGGTGCTGCATCGCTCACTTCTCCTCCATGCTGGATGCTCAATCGCCATGAGAAAAACCCTAAACTCTACAAAAAGGAGCTTATGGTATTTATTTTATAACCAGACTTTATCTACCGAAAATTGTCATGTTAATTTATATGTTTTTAAATTTTATTATCAAACATAAATAAGTGAATGGTACTTATAAACAAAACAATGTTATATATTCTAATAAAATCTTGCAGCTTAATTAGGAAACAGGATAAGATGTAATAAATCAACCATACTGAATTTAGGTTTTTTCGTCCGTCCCTTACTCGTTAGGTTTGGATCCTGGCAAGGTATGTATGATTTGGAATTTTCTTGTAAGGAACCTCTAATCTCTATTCATTAGTGACAATGTACAGAAGTATCAATCACAAAATAAATGTCAAGATGAAGAATTAACGAAGTGCCCGCGATGCAACTCCCTTGACACCAAATTTTGCTATAATAACAATAAAAAAGCTTCACAGCCACGGTATAGATGCAATTCGTGCAAGCGCAAATTCACCAAAGGTGGCAGAATTAGATTTGTACCACCCAAGAAACCAGAGAGGCAAAGGAATCCCAATCGTAGCAACACCACCAAATCCAGAAGCAAGAGTTCAAGATTCAAGCAATCCTCCACCAAGCCTTCATCCAAGAATACTGAAGTTGGGTTGAGCATCTCTGATGAATCTGATGAGGAGACTTATGAAGAATCCCTAGAGGAGGAAGACGATGGAGAGGAGGAAGAGAGCCATATCCAGAATCAAGCCAACAAGAGGACAATCAAGAAAGAGTATGCCTTGAGTTCCAATGAAAAGCATTATCAAGTGGTGAGGAAACCATTGATGGTCACAAGAAAATCTAGTTTTGGAGAACTTTTATGGTATAAGATTGCATTCACCAAGATTAAGAATGCCATTCTAGATGGATACAATGGCATTATTTATTAATTAATTAAAATCTAAGATTTTCTTAAAAAAAGAACACTCCAAATATCTGAGCTTCCTCTTGTTGTAAGAGATACCATTCCTGCATCCAAGATATTATTCAATTCGATATTATTCAATTCCAGTGGTTTCAGCAAGAAAATCCCTCATTAATCTGGTATTAGCGTTGTCCATTTTCTGTAACATACAACAAACACAAAATAACAAATAAAAAATAAAAAGATAAACATACTTGCAGAGACATCATCTTCATGTTTTCCCACTCAAAATCATTATTTGCATAGGCTGCTCTCACTTACAATATCACAACAGAGTTTTAACAACAACAATATCAACATTCACTTACCTCAAGAATTCTCAGTGCTAATAGGCCACTTCCATGAATCAATAAAGAAAAAAAAAGAAAAGACCTCTAGGAAACACTAGAGTAATCTCTTACCAAGTGCTTTGTGACGGCCAGACTCCCTCATCAATGCCGAGCAAAACTTATCTCCGTCCTTGAGTGGCACCTTGTCCAGGAACTTCATGAGATCATCGTACGCCTCCTTGTTGTAGTCCTGGAACACACAAAAGTTTCAGAGCACCACAAAGAAAAATTTTCCCAAGGGACGAAAGCTTTCAAAGTTACCTCTAGCTGCGAAGCAACGATCTTGACAGCAATGTAAGTGAAGAAGTTGTGGAGCGTGTCCGCAGCACGGCCCTCGGGAGTCCGCCCTCCGAATCCTGGCATCCTGCTATTCTCTCGAACTGAAACTTCCTACAAAGTACTCTCCTACAAAAGAAAAAATCGAAGAGAAACTACATCACTACCACTCTCACCTGGAACGAACATCTTGTGGCAATTGCAAGCCACACGCGCTCTCCCAGCCTTGCTGATCGCCTTGCTCGTCACGGCCTTTCCAATCCCACGTCCAAAAGCACCACCGCTAGCAGCAGCAGCAGCAGCGGCAGCGGCACAAGTAGCCATGGCCGAGAGACACAGATCTTTAGGTGAACCAGAGCTTTCTTAGTGTCGAAAAATCGTTAATAAGTTTCTGAAAGTAGCGAGTGAAGATCCTCTTCCTCCTCGAGAGTTTTCTTCCTCTTGTTCTTCCATCTAGAGCCAGCCCCGCGGGAGATAACCGTGGATCTCATACCCAGTCTTCCAGTGATCCAGCGCCACCACCCATCTCACCGCCAGGAAGCAAACTCCCATCCCGACCAGCAAGATCGCCCTGTGCGTTGTCTTGTTCTTGATCCTCACGAGAACATGAGTGATGAACGCCACCACCAGCCCCACGACCGTGTAGAGAAATCCCACCGCGAACCCCTCGGCCCCCAGCTGCATCCCAGATCCCTGGTAGAACGCGACGATCTTGGAGGGATCGTTCCGGTCGGGCATGAAGAGCGGCATCTTCCGGATGATGTTGTGCATGCCCCCGGCGACGCTGAAGAAGTAGACGAGGAGCGCTCCCACGCACCAGAGCTTGGAGTTGTGGAATGGTGTGTCCTTGCCTTCGATGAGGAGCTTCTTGAGCACGTATGGAGCGGCGACGATGGCCGCGGCGGCGACGAGCAGGAGCTGGTTCCTCGACACCAGCGGCGGCCGATCGATCGCCCCAACCTTGTGCCTGATCTTGCTCTCCACGTAGGCAGCCATCCCCTCCGCGGATCTCACCATGTCGTTGAGCTCCATCATGGACTCGGACGCGTTGAGCGGCCCCGAGCCCGGCGCGAGGAAGCGCGCGTGCGGCAGCGCATTCACGCCAAACATCGCGAAGCTGGCCTGCGCGCGCTGGAATTCCAGCGCGCAGAAGAAGATCTTGGACTCGCCGCTGCCGCCCGCGTTGTTCTTGATGTAGGATCTGGCCAGGAGGGAGAATTCGCCCCGCAGCTCGTCCAGCTTCAGGCCCGATCGCTCGCGGAGGTGGTGCGCGTCGAAGAAGACGAGCAGCGCGTAGGGCCGATTGGCCGACGCGGCCAAATGCCGGATCCCGGTATCGTCCAGCTCGATAATCCCATCTTTCGAACCTGCCTGGCGCCGCAGTAGATCCGAGACGCGATCGTCCTCGCCGATGGCGATGGCCAGGAAGAACAGCACCAGCGCCAGCGCGATCGCGCATCCCCGGCCCATCCTCGCTCGAGCTAGGGTTCTCGGCTAACCCCGCGGTTAGGGTTTAGTTTGGTTAGGCTTTAAAGGGTCGAGCGTTCGATTCCGGGGAGCGAGTTTTTTAAAGACTTTCCATCAGAATGGCGTCTTGGTCGTGGCTCTTGCGGCCGAGGCGAGAATGTCACGTCCAGTGATCCTGGAAGAAGATTTCTTGCCAAATGCGCTCAGAAGCTCGTCATCGTCGTCTCGGAGCAGTGGATCCTCGGGTCGCCTGGGACTGCAAAGAAGGAAAAAACTTAGAACTTCGGGGAGAAAAGAGAGAATATGAGTGGCACACCTTGGCACTTGCGTTGCGAAAGAGTCGTATGCTTCCAGCGGTTTGCCGACTCTGAGCAGCGGGATGGGATCCACGAAGGCTTCGTTGATCCTCGCCTCTAAATCCTTCTCTTCAATCCACGACGAGCTCGACACGCGCAAAGCTTCCAGCCTCTCATCCCTGGCCTTTTGGTGCTCCGCGACTTGCCTAGCGTGGCTCGCAGCTTTGATCCTCTTTTCCTTGTCCTGTAAAAATCCACCCAAGATCATCAATCCTCTATCTATCCTCAAACTTTCAATCCAAAAACAATCCATCCAAGATCATCAATCCTCCCTCCAAAAACCTCTATCCATCCTCACTCTTTCAATCCAAGATCCAAGAGAACATCCAAGAAGCACGAAAACAATCCATCCAAGATCATCAATCCTCCCAAAAACTGTATCCATCCTCAAACCACAGGAGAAAATCGAAGACACACGAAAGAACATCCAAGGAAGAAGAAGAGAGAACTCACGATTATAGCGCGCAAGGACTCTTTCCTCTCCTGCGCCTTGAGCCGCTTCTCCTCTTTCCTCTGCCACCGCAAAATACACTCTTGCTCGCGATGCTGCAAGGCCTTCTCTCTCTCCGCCACATCCGACCGCTCCTTGGCGATCCTCTTCTTCTCCACCTCCTTCTGGAATTCCTTGCGGATCTCCTTGACCTGCTTCTTATACTCCCCCTTGAGGAGATTCATCTTCCCGAGCACGGGCCCTTCGTATTTCTTACCCCCCCATCTGATCGCCCCTTCGCTGTAAGGGATCAGCGCAGCGCGCGTCACTGCCGCGGCATCGGGAGCGGCCGGAGGAGCTGCCGAGGTCGCCATGGCCCTGCATTGCTTCCAGGCGCCCGCCCATCGCCTCGCCATGGAAGAACCCTAAAACCCTCGAAAGCATATTCTCTTAATGAAACTTTCTTTGCTCTCTTTGGTTTCGCAAAGAACTTGATTATAGCGCAATAGAGTTTCATGCGCACAGACTTCCAAACCCCATATACTTACCGCGCTTGAGCTCTTGGATAGAATCCACTATTCCCACACCGCCTTCACACAAGAGAGAAGGAAACGAAGAACATAAATGGAATGAGAAGAGAATGGCGAAGTAAAGGATCTAAATACTTGCACTGACCAAGAGATATGACGCTCACGACGATGACGAACACGAGAGTGAATGTGATGACTGAAGTTCTTCCCAGGAGGTTGAGTAGCTTTTGGACAAGCTTCTGGCTTAAAAACGCGGAGACGATGCAAATCGCTCCAAAGTAGAGAGCTGGAGAAAGAAGAATCAACTTTGGAAAATCGATCGATCGAGAAAACATTACCATATGACACTTTGATACGGCCGAGGAAATAGAACTCCACCACGGACAGCGATGACGAGAACAGCATGGCCAAAGTCGCCGTGGCTGATGCTGTCTGTTCCAACAACGAAAGAAAGAAGTAAGAAATGGAGATCCTGGAAGAAAAAAATTGATATCGACCTGTGGAGGAACTCCAAACTCGAGCATGATCGGGCCTAGCGTTGCGCCACCTCCGACGCCAAGCAACCCGGCGATCGATCCGGCCAGGACGCCAAAAAACACGTAGCGAAAGACGTCCAGAGCTCGGCCCGCGGCTTTTAGAGAGGCGGAAGAACTCTCGCTTGACTCGTCGAGCAAACTTTCTCGTAGCTTGTAGGAGCTGTGTTCACGCATTCTCAATGCCTGAGTGACAGTCACCGCAAGCGTCACGGGAGCCTGGAAACAAAGAAAAAAGCGAAAGCGATAGAAGATCTTGCGCAAGAACGTTTCTCCTTTCGTTTTCTTACTTGTAAGATGTTATAGATCCAGAAGGCTGTGCTGCAATTTGCGGTGTATGCCTGATCCAAAACTTTGTGTAAGAAACTGTGAGAAAGCAAAAAACAAAATATGAAAGGATCGAAAGAGCACCTTTAAGACTTGTAATCCTGTGATCAAGCACCAAACCGCGAAGAGAAGAGACAGTTTTTTCCACTCCACAGTAGTCCACAAAGAATCCTTCCAGTGCAAAAGTCAAGATCGATGAGAGCACAAAAAAGATAAACAATTCTATGGTTCGGACCAAGGTGGTGAAATTCGCTGGCCCGGGTGTTAGAGATCCTTCCAAAATCAATCTCTTCTCGTTTGTCTCCTTCTTCCAGGTCTCGAGGCCTTTGGAAAAAGCTCTGGACGCCATAGCTGGAGAAACAAAAGAGAAAGAGCAGTTTGTACGTAGACAGACACGAAAAAGTTCCAGCACTCACCGAGAGAGACGACGATCAAGAGCAGCGTGATGAGCCAATTCGGAAATAGCACATTGAAAGTCACACCGACGCTAATCCCCAAGAGAAGCATTGGCTGGAACAGGAGAGCCAAGTCATAGTCGATGAGCGACGAGTTTGTTTGCGACGATCTCAGCCCGAGATTGTAAGCTACGGTGGAAGCACATTGTGCAAAGATCATACCTGGAGGACACACATCCACAAAAAAAGAGATCAGCAAATCAAGAAAGAAATTGTCTTGTTCTTGAAAATTCTCTTTTCCCTGGAGTCCCAGTCCAATCCATTCCAATCTAATCCAATCCAATCCAAGAACACACACAAAAAGAAGAAAAAACTCACATTTGGAGAGCGCCGGCGCGGTCTTTGCATCGAATCCACAGACGAGCATGAGCGTCGGCACGAAGATCCCCCCGCCGCCAACGCCGCCGACGCTCCCCAGCGACGCCCCGAGCACGGCCAGCAGCGTTGCCGCCGCCAGGCGCCATCCAAGCTCGAGCTCCACAACACCGCCCTAGATTGACAAGAAGGAAAAGAGAAGAGGTGATTTTCACGAGGATTATTCCATTTGAATTGCTCGGTGTCAATTGATACCAAGGTTGCGGCTGTGGAGATTTGTTCCATTTCCAGTGATCGGGACTTGTCGCGTAGCGAGCTTGCGATTGTCCACGCAGTTCTTCTCTCGCTCTTATATGTTAAGTTCTTTTGTCGCGGTGATGAGTTGTTTATTTGAGCCGCCACCTACGTAAGTGTGAGTGACGAGAGATCTCAAACTTTTACCTTTGATCTTCATCGTCGTCTATCATTTCACTTTCAAAGGCCTGGCGCACACACACGAGTTTACGTGCCTTATTGGACATCCTCAATAAATTTCTCGATCGACTTGAAATTTTTTTGAGTTCTTGCAGATTTCTAGCGAGTTTATCGCAAGCACAAAGCTCCAATTAAATTCTCACTTTTTCACAAACTCCACGAATTAGTGAAAGTTGAATGGTATAAAGATCTAGCAGCAAGTGGGCAAACGAGGAAAGATTGTTTATCTTTCCTCGTTTGCAAGCACACAACCTCTCGATATCCTTGCCCAAGTTTGCCAGAACCTCTGTGTGCTGCTGGCTCTGTCGCTGGAAATATGACAAATATTTATTTCTTTTGCTTTAGCAAAAAAACAAAAAAAAATGTTTAATATATTTTATTAAAATAGATATAACTTAGACATATAACATAAGTAGATCTATGAGTGTATGGAATATGGAAAAGGAATATAGAAATGTGCATATCAATTAGCTCAAAAACTTTAGTTTATATAGTGGTCCAGATTGAAATCAATTTGACGGCTACCAAAATCCCACTACATTAATATTAGTATATGACATCATAGCCGTACACTTGGCCTTCACATTATCCCCTCCTCTTGAAATAATGGAAGATCATCAGGGTTTTCTTGTACAAAGGCCGGGATCTGGAGAAACGTCAGGAGGAAGCATCAGTAGATCTGTAGGTGGTATTAACTGCTCTTGATCCTTTTGTATGAAGTGTTTCAATTGCTGCACATGTACAATCTCTAGAGGATTGACTTGCTAGACATCATACCGAACCTTATAAACTTGTGGTCCAACTTGCCGCAATACTTGATACGGTCTTTTCCATTGCACAAAGAACCCCTTAGATAAACCACTACCATTAGATGGGGAAAACAGACTAACACCAAATCATCCATTTTTTATTCTGCAGGTGGATGATGATGGGAGTTGTAGCGCCGTTGTTGTCCTACTTGTACATGGTCTAAGTGTTTGGTAGACTCTGCTCGGATAAGTGGAAGAATGTTTGTCAAATATTGATCCCACGACCTAGCATCGGCAGCTTATGGCAATTGTGAAAGTAAACCCATCTCCGTTGATAATATTGGATCATGACCATGGGCAATGAACTCCCTGGGCAATGAACAACATCAAAATCATATATCTGAAGTTTCAAAGCTCATCGAGCAATATGACCAACCAGGTTCTTCCACTTCAATAATGAAGTAACAATAGCATGGTCACCTTTAAGTAACATCTGAGAACAATGTAGATATGCATGAAGTTTTTCGAAACCCTAGACTACTGCTAAACACTCCTTCTCTATCATGGAGTAGTTCATCTCCATTTGTTGTAATGTATAGTTTATATACACAATGGAATGGCCCTGACCAAGCACACTCAACCTCTCTTGCATCAACACACCTCCAAGACCAATGTCAAAAGCATCCACATGCAAAATAAAAGGTCCAGTGTAGTCAGGATATGCCAAAACCGGAGGAGTTGTCAATAGCTCTTTAAGATCCATGAACACCCTCTCACAATCCGGAGACTAGGTGCAGTATCTCGGTCGTTTTGTGGATCATCTTTCTGATCGCACTGCACCGTTGCAAGCATTACTGAAGTCATCATCATTTTTC